ACAGTAATTTATAGCCCATTGCAGACATCATCTCTGCCCTCAGTGGGGGAAAGAAATTAAGGAAGTCATGGAGGAGAAATTTAATTTTAAGATGCAGCCTTCTCCACTCATTCTTTTTTTTTGTGGGCCTCTTTCTAGATTTCAGTGACAAATTAAAAGCTGACATTGAAAAACAAAATTCCTTGTGCCCTGTTAACTGTTCAGTAACTAGGCAGACTGAACAGTTTTACTTTGGAGCTCATGCTGACTGTACTTGGAGACAAAGCAGAGGAAAGCAGCTTGATTTATTGTGAGCAGGAAGCCGCCTCTTCCACTGTGGGAATATGGTGTCTCAGGAGGCAACAGGAGCTTCTGCTGTAATTCACAGTACTTCTGTAGTAAAATTTTAGTAAATTATTTTCAGTATTTTTTTCTTTGCATTAGTAATGAGTCAGCATAATATATTGCAACATCAGCCTGAACGGCTGACTACATTGGCTTTGCTGGCACAGTTTACATTTGTTTTACAAGCGATCAGTTGTACATGGATTATCTTAGTAGCCTCTGTGCTATGAAGTTTATCCCATGCTATTTGTATGAACAATTCCTTATGCTGTCTCTGTGCACCTCCATAATGTGTCTCCTGAGCACATGTAAAGGCCATAATGACAGTTAAATCTGAATAAGATTTCTGCTGGAATAAAAAATGCGTTCAGATCTGTCACTTAGAAGTTTTGCAATCTATGCAGTCTATCAGGTTTTCCAAGTCAAATGATTATTCCAGCTTCCTCGTCTGAAGCCACAGGATGTAAAAAACCCCATCATTTATACAGATGCTAATTACTCCCTAAAAATATTCAAAATTAGCTGTAAAAATTCTGATTTTAAAAACTTGTGCTATTAAGAACATTTAAATGGTGTGACGGCATTTTCAGCTACATTAGCACGTGTGACAGCATGGAATAGAAAACAAATCAGTCTGTGGGTGGTTAATTTCTGAAGTGAGTTTAGCTCTACAGCATCAAGAGAAACCTCAATGATTCTGCAGGGCCATAAAGGGAATTTCAAATTACAACAATTGGGATCTCTATAAAATATTTCTGCCTTCAGATCTGTTAATTAAACATTGAAACAAGCAATGGGTATTTGCTTAAGGTGGGAAGCAACTGTGAAGTTCAGCATGAGATTACAAAAAAGGTACTTTGTGAAAACTGATCCTAGTCTAATAGATTTAAAGTAAGGCTTAGACTGTAGGTCTTACTTTTTTCTTAGCAATCTGTGAAAACAGAACAGCAACACTGATAGAGGTGTGTACAAATGCAGTTACGGTACCAATGCTCACCTACTGGACTCAGGCTGCCCAGCCCACTCCGAGCTGCCATTTGTGCCCCCTCCCCTGGCCTGCTGCTCCCTATAGCCCGGGCATGGCTCACATGGTATGGAATACCTGTGTCCCCTGCCAGATATCCTTGGGAAAAATAACCCTATCCCCACCGGAACCAGGACAGTGACCCAATCCTTTAGAGGCAGTTCTTCCTGTGCGGTTGTGCAAATACCTGTGGAGGCAATGCAGACTCTGCTGTTATGTCCGCTGCCCCCTGTGAAAACTACAACATGGGAGTACTGAAATCTGACAATTCATCCCATGGCAGCACAAAGGATCCCACCTGAGCCTCTCTACAGGTCTCTAACGAGGCGGCTATACTCACAGGAGCATCCTTGGGGTTGTCCCTGCCCTTTTTGCCTTCCTGGCACTTACAGCCCAGTCTGGCCAGTACAGGACAGGGTGAGCAAGAACTGCTTGGTCTTCAGACTGCATCATAACTCACCCCTATGCTCATGTGAACTTGACCTTCCCCTGCCCGCCTCTTGCAGTTCCCAGGGGAGGGCAGAGAGACTTGGCTGTTCTGGGGGGCTGCAGGAAGCCTGTAGGGGTATCTCACCAAGCAGTTTCTCTAGAGACAGGCAGTGGTAGCATCCTGAAGAAAGCCTTTGGACTGAGCTCCTCCAGGGGCCTCAAGACTGGCTGCTGTGCAAGAGAAACAATCTTTCTTGCAACAGGAGTGTTGTCTTGGCCCCAAGTGAGTGCAGGATGGCAAGAATGTGTATCCTTGTCTGCATCAGAGGGCTTCTCTAGGATCCACAGCTGTGATAGGAGCAGTTGGCTGACCTTGACATCCATCTCCTTTGGCTTTACAAAAGCGGAAGGCCTCTCACGAGACCAGAACCCAGCCAGGACCACTCAACTTTGCAGGAGGCTCTGCAGTACCAGTTTTCCAGTGACCCCTATACATCTATTGTAGAGGACTCCGCTGGGGTTACTGCAATCACAGAAGGCTTGCTAAGGCAGCCAGACCTCTCCTTTTGCAGAGAGAGGACAAGGGTCCACCCCTCAGCATACCACACCCATGCCTTAATATCAAAATCCCTCTGTCCAGTTAAGATTTCAGCTTCACGCTTTCCATAGGCTTTCCAGGGAAAGGCACATCTAACTGTGAGCTGTGAGAGACAGAAGAGTGATTCAGCCTTGAGGAGAAGCATGTACAGCAGTAAGCTGACGTCAGCTATGGCAGTAATTACAGACTAGCACAGAAATTTGAGCCTCTTTTGTTCTACAGACAAAATGTGAGCCAGCAGAAACAGCTGATGGTGCAAGGTATGTATTTGTGCGAGCTACCCGCCTCACTGTTAGCAGTGCCATAACGCCTCTACAGTATGCTGCCAGGGGCACCTCCTCCACAAAGTGGAGGAGCCACCTGCTCCACTACATATCAGGAGTTCAGAATTAGCCTCACACACCTATATGTCTGATGCATTAGTAGAGAGAACAATCTCCCCTTTCAAATTTCTTTTATATGCTTGGATAAAGATAACAGCTGTCTTAGCTAGTGCAAGGCAGACTCTCTGACCAGGGCAATGGCAGATTTTGGAGACACTTCCTAGCAGTATTTCCTCACTCCTTTAACCCATCCTTTAAAAAAGAGCTAACTGTAGTTACAGTTAATTTTGCACTAACCTACAGTTAATTTTGCACTATCATTTTAAGGATCTGAGACACTACTTCACATCACCATTTTGAGCACAACTTAATACACATTTGGAAAATATGAAGACCTTTGGTTTGCAATACACAGCAGATCTGATGCACCCTTGCACCTATAAAATACTTTTTAAAGTTTAATATAGTGAGAAACAATTAATCTTTTCTTAAACCACCCTTTATTAAAAAACATAAGCATTTGTAAATATATAAAATTATAAAAGTACCAAGTGCTTCTTGCTTCCCAGTACAGTAGGACTCAGGACTGGCAGGTGGCTTTGGTGCTAATCTGTTCGGTGTATTAGGTCCAGGGCTGCAGAACTGATTGGCTAGTTTTGCAAAAGACAGCTAGTCTCATTCCTCTGACAGGTCCAAACTGATCTTGTTTCACCTCAGTTTCAGACTTCCTTCCTGCTCCTTATGACAAACATCAGTGCTTACTGGAGAGAGCAAGGCTGGAGCTGTATGAACTAGCAGGCTCCGTAGAAGGATGCAGCTAGGTGTTTTACAAAGGGCAAGATTTCCAGCTGCTAATGGGGAAGACAATTTCAGGCACTGAGAGAGCTCCTCTGTACAAGGAAAGTGCATTCTTTGCTTTGGGATCATCCTTTAGCTAGACTGGACAAAACCAGTCACAGGTCCAGTTTGCATCAAGTTCCCTTAATCAGCAAGTACTCAGATCCCCTTGCAAGACCAAGTCCCATCTATCTAATTTTTTTACCACTGAAATGTTATAGGGTAAAAAGTTCTCAGATTGTACATCTAGACCTGAACACCAAAGCAGGACAGTGGACTGCTGTGGAAGTACTGTAAAATGAAAAGTCCAGTTGTACTCATTGCAATTTTTAGAGTAACTGAACTCCAAATTGGATCTTTTGTATCACTACCCATCTCTTCTAACACTGAAGAACAGCTGTCAGTTGCAGAGAGAACTCGAAGGTGCTTGTTGGTGTTGTTTCTTACTTGGTGTTCCCCCAAAAGCCCCTATCATCTGCAGAAACTTATCACAGGCCCCTGCATTCTCTAAGGGTTCACCTTTGCCAGTTCTCCTGACAGCTTCCACCACACCAGGCACTCCTGTGTCATTCCGTAAAAAGTGAGCTGCCCTCTTAGTGTTCCCCTATAGGAAAGCATGACTTGGCCTGGGGAGGGTACACTACCCTAATCTTAAATAGCAGGTCCGTCTTCTTTTGAAAAACTTAAACCACTGTAATTGCAGGAGAGGTGGAGAAACAACAGAAACCCAAGTAAAACAAGCTTATCCTGAATGTCTCAGTAACTGGCAGGAGACCAGAAGGGTGAGGAATCCTGCCATATTTAACTTCTGCTGCTTGCAGATACTTTCTTTTCCAGGCGATGCTGCAGGCAGGGCTTATTTTTCCCATTTGTAGGAAAGGACAAAGTGACTTATTGTAACAGACCTGTATTACATATCTCATACCTCCACTTCCTTGCTGCAATGGAAGGATGCTCTAGCTCGTACTGCCCTTTTTAGCTAAGAGGCACAGTAAACTCCAACCTTGGAGTGAAAGAGTTGTTATCCTGTACAGGAACCACAGTCCTTAAACAGAAATTTTCCACTAGGTTTGTGACAGGCATGGCTTCCACACCTCTTAAAGCTTCACCCCTGATCCAAGTACATGAAAATGAAAAAATGGCTGAAATATGATGCTTCTCTCCTCTGTAACATTTCTTTAGCTTGAATCAAGTCAGCTAAAAATCCCTGCTACCTGCATGGTTGTCCAGTCCCTCTTTGACCTTTCTGGCAGCACAGCCTTTCTTACAGCCAGGATTCACAAATAAATACAAGATTGAGGGAAGCACAGTAAAGGTGCCCCGGTGACTCTGCTCTAGCCCTTGCTTGTTGTGCAACAGGACCCAGATACCACAGTGTGCCAGCTGAGCATTTGAAGTCATGCGCCCTGCCCACAGGCATGAGTCCTTCCCTTACTGGGGCCTTGGCATGCCCTTTTTGGCTTGGTTAGGCTTCAGGAACATCTGCTGTTGCTGTATCTTCTGCCTTGACCAAATCACCACTGTTTGTCTCAGCATGGAGCCGCTTGTAGTCAGTGTGGAAGAAGATGACATAGAAACAAGCCATAGCACTGCAGAGGCCAGCCAGCACGAGTACCGGAGCTGCAAGGAAAATACACCTTTAGATGGTGAATTCACAACTCCCCATAAGTGCAGAAGTCTAGATGTCAGCTCCCCAGCAACTGGAAAGCCTGGGTGATTTCAGAGAATCATAGACTATCTCAAGTTGAAAGGGACCCATAAGGATCATCCCTGTTCCATAAGGAACTCCCTGTTCCTCACAGGACTACCTAAAACTGAATCATATGACTAAGGGCATTGTGCAGACACTCCTTGAACAGGCTTGGTGCCATGACCACTTCCCAGGAAAGCCTGTTCCAGGGAGTGACAATACCTATATTTACTTTATAGAAAGTGACTTTGCAAAAATGCAATTTGTAATTCTACGTATGTCTGAATTTGTAATATGTAGAAAAGTGTGACTATCAGATTGTCTTTACTACACCTTACAGACTGCCACGACCTACAACCTTGCTGAATATTAGTTTCTTGGTGATGTATGTTTCCATCAACACTGAAATGCAGCTACTTATGAATGTGTGAAAAAGGGGGCATCAGATAGAAAAGTATCAGAGAAGTTGTTCTAAGCAAAGAAACTACTGTCACCAAAGACACTGGTTAAAAAAAAAAATCGGATGAGAGCCACAAGAAAATACTGGTTTTCATTACTAAAAAAAAATTCTCCATTTGTAAAGCTACATATATTGGACGTCTATTATATACCAATTTTAATACATATTAGTTTATGCTTCACTGATTAGAATTATCGAATTGTATAGGTTCGAAGGGACCTTTCAGATCATCAAGTCCAACCATCAACCTAACACTGACAAAACCACCACTAAACTATGTCCTTCAGCATTATCCATCCTAAACCTCCCCTGGCACAATTTGAGGCCATTTCCTCTTCTCTTATTGCTTGTTACTTGGGAGAAGAGACTGACCCCTATCTTGCTCCAGCCTCCTTTCAGGTAGTGGTAGATAGCAATAAGGTCTCTCCTCAGCCTCCTTTTCTCCAGGCTAAACAACCCCAGTTCCCTCAACTGCTCCTCATAAAACTTGTTCTCCAGACCCCTTACCAGCTTCATTACCCTTCTCTGGGCATGCTCCAGCACCTCAGTGTCTTTCTTGTAGTGAGGGGCCCAAAACTAAACACAATACTCGAGGTGGGGCCTTACCAGTGCCACGTACAGGGGGACGGTCACTTCCCTAGTCCTGCTCACCACACTATTCCTGATGCAGGCCAGGATGCTGTTGGCCTTATTGACCACCTGGGCACACTGCTGGTTCATATTCAGCTTGCTGTCAACCAACACCCCAGGTCCTTCTGCACCGGGCAGCTTTCCAGCCACTTTTCCCCAAGCCCGTAGCACTGCATGGGATTGTTGTGACCCAAGTGCAGGACCCGGCACTTGGCCTTGTTGAACCTCATACCATTGGCTTTGGCCCATCGATCCAGCCTGTCCAGATCCCTCTGTAGGGCCATCCTACCCACAAGCAGGTTGGCCCTCCCACCTAACAGTGTCATCTGCAAACTTACTGAGGGTGCATCTCCTCCCAAGGGCTACCCCTGAGGACAGTGTGCAGCTTACAGCAGGGCAATGCCAGTTTGGTAACAGCCAAACCTTGTCTCACATAACACTGGCATAGGAAGAGGATTTGGGTGAAATTTGGAAAGTTTCCAGGATTCTTGTCCTGCATGACCCCATAGCTTGGAGGTCTTACACCAGTGCACACAGTGTGTTTGTGGCTGCGTGTGTTTCTGTGTATGTGTACGTTTATTTTGTGGGGTGGTGAGGAAAGTTACAAGGAAGACTGAACCAAAACACTGGAGCTTTATAAAAGAACAGGTCCCCGCAGGTAGTGCTTCTTGTTATATCAGCCAAGATCAAAGTGCAGGAAACATTCAGTACGGATAAACTTATCACAGCAAAGTTTCTTTTTTCCAGCTCTGATCTGATGAGATAAAGAGCAGTGGGCTTTCAGACATGAAGCAGTCAGATTGCTTTTTGGGGACAGTTATTGTGAAGCCTTGTTCCCTGCTCAGGCAAGCAGGATATATTTAAAAGGTGTTTGCCAGCCTTTGTGTAACGGTAACTCCTCAGGACTTGGTGTCAGTATTACATAAATATGAACTCAAGACCAGGGTTTAGCCTACATTGAAAACACATATGTGCTCCTCTTCATCTCAGTCACTTCTCCTGACCAGCTAGGAAAGGAAGTGTGGAGTAAGTCAGAACAAAGCTGTACTGGCATGTTACAAACCTCTGTGTTACCAACAGCTCTGTGTGCAGAAGCAAGGGAATTAGCTTTCTGTCAATGCACTTGTAGTCTTTGCCTCCCATACAGCAAAGCAGCACATGCTGTGGACAGTGTCTTCCCCCCAGAAAAGCTGCTTTCTAGCTTGGGGAACCTCAGGTCTCTGTAGGGTGGCCATAAGAGAAATATTAACCCAGAGTCAGCAGCAGCATTCATGGCACCTCACAGGTCTTCCCATTTCAATCTCGTAGACCTGGTTTATCAGGAGCAGCAAGGAGTACACAGTCAGGTTGGGAAAGGTGGCTAAGAGACATGGTACAATAGGAATCAGTCTTGGAGGCTCCCTCACAGTGAGACCTGGAGGACAGACAGGGGTATGTGGGGTGCAACTGAGTGTCCAGTGTCATTTCCCAAGGACATACTTACTTGTCCAGTCCAGGGCTCCATCCTGGTCAAGGGTGCAGGTGGAGGCTGGATCCTCAGAAACACGCACAGTGAGGGCTTGTAGCAGAATCATTAAAATCACACCTTCAATCTGGCTGTGGGGAGAAGCCAGCATGAGGTCAGGTGCCTGCCTGCTTCATCAGGGCTGCAGGCAAGTCCAGTTTCCCCAGCGGGAAGAAAGGGAGGCCCCTTTCTGGAGCAGAGTCATTCCAGCAGAGAAAGCTACTATTGGCTTCCTCTGGACCAGATGCTTGGTTAACTGGCATTGGCTCACAGGGTGTGCAGGTCAGCCTTTCAGCACTATTGGCTTCCTCTGGACCAGATGCTTGGTTAACTGGCATTGGCTCACAGGGTGTGCAGGTCAGCCTCCCCCCCCCCCCCCAGACACAGGGCCAGTATGGCAGGACTACTGTATACTCCCTCTGGAGGCGGACAGGTTTGAACTACAGCTGTCAAGGAGCTGAGGCTTAGTCAATGACCAGACTTGGAAACACCTCTCACTGCAGGGTTGAGGATGAGAAAAAGTCAGGCTATGACTTCAGCCTCCTCCTCATTCCCAACTGTCTAGCAGCAGCAACAAAGTCCACAACCAGTGGGAGACAACAGCCTTCAAAGGCAGTGTCTAATATCCCTCTTTGATGTTTCTCACTGCTGCAGCTCCACGTGACACATACACATGGCACCAGCCCATGTATATCACTGCTTAAGGCTCCAACAAGTGCCAGCCCTAGGCATGTAAATTGATCACAGGAGGGATCAAGCCAGCCCTGGCACTCCAGTGCCAGCCCTAGGCATGTAAATTGATCACAGGAGGAATTGTTACTGCCCCATCTGTTGTGACCAGCTGCCGTGTTAGTGATGAGCCCCATCTCACTCAGCAGAGCACTGAGACCTGACAAGTCCCTGTACTGCCATGGGAACGGGTGCCCCTCTCAGGCATACAGCCCCCTAGGCATGGTTAAGTCCTGCGTTCTGCCAAGCAAGGGAGACATTCATCTTCCTTCTTGCTTTTCTTGCACTAATTCAACATAGTCCTCCTTGCTTTAAAACCTTTAGCTCTTCAGCTCTACGGCTCACCGAGCCAGCTCTCCCCTCGCCACAGTCATGTGCACAGACACCAGTATGCACACACACCCCTCTGTGTGGGTGTATGTGTGTGTTTGAACCCAAGCTCAGCTGTGAATTGGATTTAACCTGCCTGCTTACCTTGCAACAAAAATCAGGCCTGTAGATGTGCCCTCTCCCACGGGGTAGGAGCACTCCACAGCCAGCTCCATGGCAATGGGGTAGATGGCAAAACCGAAGAAACCAAAGAGTGAGCTGGTGATGGCCAGTGTGATAGCCTGATGTCTGAACCGGGAAGTCTGCAGACAGAAAAGCAACACCAAAGTCTCAATGTCAGCACTGCTGCTCAGTGAATCTCTGAACCCATAACCTGCAGGAAGTCCCAAGGGCTCACTGTTCTCACCAGTACCTTCCCTACCTGTTTCTGAAATCTCTCTTTTACCTCCAACCCTCTGGTCAACAAGTGGCTACATGGTGGAGATTTACCTGTTTAATTTAAGCAAGGGGAGAGAGAACCAGCAGAATTACCTGAAAAGCATTGATGTGGTCGTATTACTGTGACTTGACTTCCTGGTCAGTAACTTACCAGGAGTGTGTGTGCTCAGTGTATCTCCAGCACAAAGTAAAACACACAACTTCCTTCCAATGCAAGCTAACATTTCAGAAGTGGTGTTTGCATTGGGTTACATATGAGAATTCACTGGGTTGCTGCAGCTCATTGATATGCAAAACTACTCCTTATCTTGTCAGACGCATGTTTGTAACATTGGAGTCTTAACACAAAAAAAAACCCACACAACAATCAAAAAACCACCTGAAACATTCACAAACTCTGAACAGCCTTGTCCTTAACTTTGGAGGAAAGACCATGGGCTCGTCCAGCCAATGCTAGTAAAGTCAAGGGGGTAAATCCTGCAGTCACAGTGCTGGTACCTCCTTCCTTAACCATGTAATAAATTCCACAGAGGAACACAAGGTGTCTGTCCTGCACAGCTGCAGTAGGCCTGGCCAAGCTAAACTGGTAAAGTCAAGGAAAACTCTGTGTCTGGAATCTGAGTTGCATCAAGGCATCAAGCAGATTTGAATGGGTGCTTTTCGTTTTACTACTTTGAACTACTAGTTCATCTGTATGGGATAAAGGGGACGGAGGGACGTAGAGGAGGGAAAGGTTTGCTTGTTAGTCCTGACATAGCCTCTTGCCTGCTCTGTGCCTTACCTGAGCCCAGGCATGCTCACTCGTATTCAGACCATCCTCACAACAAATGGCAGAGTACTAAAGGGGAAAATGCACAGTCTGCATTAGGCACCTTGTCCTACACTGAGAAAGGCATTGCATTTGTCTGTCTCTTCAATGTGGAGCTAACATCACTGGGATCTTAGCCCAGGGGAAGGTGTGGTCATGCTGCATTGAAAGTCTGGATTTTTCAACACACAGGAAAATTGCACAGCACAACCCTGTTGGGAAAGCAGAGACCTGCACCAGTCTAGGTCCTCTGCAGCTAGGAGTCCTGTGCCTCGTGCTCAGGTTCCTGCTGGGTGATGGCTCCCGTTGGCAATGACTATGCTTGAGTGCAGTACTTGCAATCCAGCATCATGGGTGTAAAGTCTCCAGGTTCTGCATTCCTCTCCTGGCTGGATTGAAGTGTCCCCCTTTTCTGCATCTCCCTTGTCTTGTCCGTCTCGAGGAACTACTGCAGAACTAGGCACATAATTAGGTCCTTTTTGCTAATCTTACACTCCTGGCAGCCACGACTGTTAAAGGCAGGTGTTGGAAAAACTATGGAATTTTTGCCAGTTCATTTTTGTAAGATGGATATTTAGCAATTCCATTTCTTTTTTGAAATAATGGTCTTAGGGCCAGTAAACAAACACGGCGATCCAATGTAAGGAAGTAGAATTATGCCTATTTATATCCTGAAGCAGTCTGTCTCAGACTCCACAGTGACTGTGGAATCCTCAGTAAAGGGTTTTTCTTTAAAACATTCCTAGCCCAGAGAGATAATCCAAAAGCATAACATGTGGCTTAATAAATACTATGACATCAAATGACCTTGGTTTGAGTTGATGATTTATCGGGTGGCAACAGAACAAAGCCCACAGGTATGGTGCAATGCAAGGGAGAACTCACCACTGCGAACACAATGCTGGCAAGGGCACTCAGACAGAAACAGATCTTGGTGGACTCTATGAACTTCCTCGTCCGGTCCACATACAGGCCTAGCAGGAAAGCACCCAACAAACCACACACTGTGAACAGTGCACCATTCAGACCAGCAAATTCCTAGAGGGCAGAAGAACAAGTAACTGAGCAACCAGAGCAGTTAGGAAAGAGGTTTTAATGTCACTGACCCATCTGCTTGCTGCTAGTGGGTCACTTACCGAGGTAAGAAAAGCTTCCCTATCTGTTGCAATAGCTGAGGCCTCAGCAGGGCTCTGAGTAGCAAATAATGGGGTCCAGGTGCTGCTACAAGTGTGTAGGGACAGCAGGGTCACAGCACTCCCAAAGTCTCAATGGATAAGTCTCTGCACACCTTGCAAGGGAGGCTGCATGCAGAGCAGCAGCAGTTACCTGGCATTAAATGCTCCAGTCTGGGCACGAGACTGTTCTTGGCTCCTCCAGCAGTGATTAGATGCCTTGTCTACTCTGGTGGCAACAGGTATGACTGCCTTGGGATCTGCTCCTGTTTATAATCATGCTCCTAGCCGTTTTCTTACCAGGGACCAGGGACCAAGGACCTGCACTGGCGGAATGCCTTCCACAAGGCTGGCAGCCCCAAAGCGTCTTAGATAAGACACCACATTGCCTGGCTGTAGCAAGGAGGTCTAATTAGAGAGACAGTGAGCAGTAACAGAGTAGTTACATCCTCTGTTGCCTGCAGGGACTATCTTTGCTTGTCCCACTCCTTCAACTCCATAAGAATTGAAATGCGGACATCTATACGGGAAGCAGGGAAGTTTTAACAAACTTGGGTAAACATTTTTGGGAGCCTCAGGGGCTGACTGGAAGGAAAGGGTATCTGGAATAGCTTCTGTGGACTAAAGGGCCAGGGCAAACCAGTCACACACAGACAAAAGCATCATGATGCACAGAAAGTAAGGCTGCAAAGTTAAAAAGGTTTCCAGTTAAAAGTCAATGGAGTGTGCAAATGTGACCTGGCTATGGAGCACTGAGTGAGGTATCAGACCTGAGAGTTGAGAGGGAGTGGACAGAGACCAGACATGTAGGCGTGCATATGTGACAGCTGGAGAGGTGTTGTAAGAGGATCTCGATAAGGATACAAGCAGCAGGACTGAAGTGCTGCCTGCCTGAGGGGAAACGCAGGAACTGCGGCAGCCCCTTGCTATTGCAGGGAGACAGCAGAAGGAACCTGCTGTGCACACACTGTCCTCAACCGTATTGTGCTCAACGATAAACGTAACAACTAGCCAGTGTCGTGGGAAGGATGGGGAAACAACTGTCACAGTACCTGTGACTTCCTCTGCTGCCCTAGCTTCACGTAAGACTGCAAAGAGGGAAAGGTGCTGGCCTCAGCTTGCCTTCCGCTTCACTCTAGGACCTGCTTCGGCCCATCCTGCCCTGGAGGAGGTGTCAGAAGGCTGCATAGACATTAGTGCTCTGGAGTGGCTTAGAAAAAACACAATACTCTTTTTTTCCAAAGAAGTATTTGAGGAGTAAAGGTTTTTCATTTGCAAATGGGAGCCTGGCCATGGGCAGTAATGAAAATCCATTATACTGAGAGATTGACTGTGCTCTGGATTAATGTACTGCTTAATCTATATTAGATAATGTGCACAAATAAGATACAAGACAGCGCAGCATATTCAACTGTCTTCATTTTGCTCTGAGTCCCTTATCAGGGAAAATAATTTTGATTGTATCAAAGATGATGTGGACAATAGGGAGGAAAGGACGAATACTCACATTTGAATACCCTTTTTCACAAAGGATCTGTTCTAGCAGAGCTGAAAAGCAGGTGAACATCCCAATTCCTCCTCCAAAGCACACAGCCAGGACGATGTACGGCTTATTTCTCAGGAGCTAGAGAAAGATGTTAACGTATCATTTAAACAAGTGGAAGCCTGGCTGCAGCAGTAGGCTTGAGGATCAGTGGCTCTGACCCCTCAGTTGGCAATGTTGACAGGGCAACTCTGTGATCATTAGAGGAATTTGGCTTTCTCATGTCAGTCCAGCCAGAGGAAAAGTTAAAATGGGGACCATGTAGGGAGGAGGGATCTCTTCAGTGCCCAAATTCTTTCTTCGCTTTGCCTTATACTGTCCTACCTGTTACCACACCTGCTCAGAAGGCTCAGATTGTGCGGTCCTCTTGGATTATCCCAGGTGTGCCTGTTTGAGCTAGCCAAAGGGCAGTCATCCCACAGCTGAACAGTCAGATACCATCTCTTGCAGTTTTGCTATAAGCAGCTTCCACTCCCTAAGGAAGGAAGGAATCCTGGTCTCCTTCAGGGGGCTTTCCATGTCGGGTTTGGTGAAGCAGAGTTCAGGGTCTGCTTTGTCAGCAGATCCCCCAGCATATCCCTGTCTGACACGGCTGCATCCATCACTCCAGCACTGGTCTGTCTTTGTGCTACAGCACTTACCATTTTGAGTCCTGTGAGGAATGGCTTGGAGGTGGAGTTAGTGGCACTGGCCGAAGGAGGTGTTGGAGGAACCTTCTCATGAATCCCCACAGTTGCTAGAGCACAGGCTGTAACTGCTGGGACAGCATAAACACCCAGCTACACAACACAAAGTAAAGACGTGTTACCAGTCTTTCCAGCTCTGCTGCCTCCAAATAAATAAATTAGCTGGACCCCAATCAGCCCAGCTAATCAAAGGCTAATCAAAGCAGTTTTCATTTACCATCAGTGGGATGCGCTTTCCTTCAGGAACTAGTGCAGGTGACAGCACGTTTGCTATAAGAATACCCAAGGGATTGGCTGGAAGGAAATAAAACAGAGAGACACTTTTTTCATGCAAGCAGTCAGAACCACGTGTGTGTCCCCTACTGCCAGTCAGCACCAGACCTGCAGTATGCAGCCAAGCAATGAAAAAGAACAGAACAAGGCATATATAGGGAGAAACCAGGAGGGGAACATTCGGAGAAGTTGACTGTGTAGTCTTACCATTGCCGTATCTGTTCCTTCACCCCCATGAAGTCCATTCTGTAATGGTTTTCACCTATGAATTACAGTGTCCTCAGCCTCACAAGGCTGCCTCAGTAGATGCCAAGCTGAAGGGACAAAATGAAGATGGAAGAATCCATGCCATCTGTCGTGACGTTATAAAGCAGCAGTAACAAACACAGGTGCTTTCCCTTCTTTACTTCCCTATGCCATTAGGCATGTATACATATGGATAAAATCCCCCTGAGCCTTCTTGAGGGTGAACAGTCCCAGCTCTCTCAGCCTCAGCTGGCATGACATGCTCTGTCCCCTTAATTGTCTTAGTGGCTCTTAACTGACTTACACTAAGATGTCCATGTCCTTTTTTTGTACTGAGGAGCCTAGAACTGGACACAGCTCTTCAGATGTGGACAGGGGACCTCCCTCAAGCTGCTGGCAATGGTCTTTCCAATGGTCACCAGGATGCCACTGGACTTCTTTGCCAAAAGAGCATGAAAAGCAGGAAAGCCCTATGACAACTCCCTAAAATTGTCTAAAGTCTAGATCATTCCTGACACCTTTCCAGCCAATGCATTTCCTTAGTAAAGCCCAAGCTGGCATACAAGTCCATCTCTGATACCAACTACAAAAATCGCATCACAGAAGAGAATCTTGGGCACTTGTCTGTACTGGAGTATTGGGTTGCATTGTTATAGGGCTGGACTTAAGCAGCATGTAAAGCAGCACTCCTGGGACCTAGCTTGGGAATGTCCAAAATTGCAGGAGACAATTTTTTAACTTCAATGCAATGTTCTGCAAACAGTCGAACAAGTGAAGTTGATTTTCTACTAGTGCTCAGGGATGGGGTTAGGAAAGCCAAAGCCAACCTGGAATTGAGTCTGGTGAGAGATGTGAAGGGCAACAAGAATGGCTTCTACAAGTACATTAGCAGAAAAAGGAAGATTAGGGAAAATGTGGGCCTGCTGCTGGATGGGGCAGGAGATTTGGTGACAAAGGACATGGAAAAGGCCAAGGTATTCAATGCCTTTTTCACTTCAGTCTTTCCTGATAAGACCAGCCTTCAGCCCTGAGACCAGAGGTACAGTCTGAGGTAAGAAATATTTACCTTCAGTGGAGTACGACTAGGTTAGGGACAGTTAAGTAGACCAGACAGACACAAGTCCACGGGACTGAGGGGATGCACCAATGTCTGCTGAGTGAGCAGGCTCTTTTCATTGCAAAGCCATTCTTGGCTATGTTTAAAAGACCATGGCAAGTCCAAGAGGCTCCTGAGGACTGAACAAGAGCAAATGTCACTCCTGTCTTCAAGAAGGGCAAGAAGGAGAATGCAGGAAACCCCAGGCCTTTCAGTCTCACTTTGATCCTGGGAAGGTCATGGAACAACTAATGCTGGACACCATTTCCAGGCATATGAAGGACAACAAGGTGAGCAGGAGCAGTCAGCAAAGGAGATATGCTTAACCAACCTAATAGCTTTGTACAGTGAGATGACTGGCTGGGTGCATGAGGGGAGAGCAGTGGATGTTTTTTATCTCAACTTTACTAAGGCTGTTGACACTGTGTCCCATAACATCCTCATAGACAAGCTGACAAAGTACTGGCTTTGTACACTGGAAGTATACAGTGGGATGAACTGCAAGTCAACTGAACAGCTGGGCCCAGAGGATTATCATCACTGGCATGAAGTCCAACTGGACACCAATCACTAGTGATGATCCCCAAGGGTTGATACTGCGGCCAGTACAGTTTAACCTTAATGAAAAACCTGGACAATAGGGCACGGTGCACCCACAGCCAGTTTGTAGATGATGTGACACTGGCAGGACTGGCTGATAGAAGAGATGGCTATGCTGCCATTTAGAGGAATGTCAACAGGCTGCAGAAATGGGCAGAGGGGAACCTTGTGAAGTTCAACAAGAGGAAATGAAAAGTCCTTCACCTACAGACGAATAACCTCATCCATCAGTACACACTGGGGCTGACCAGCTGGAAAACAGCTCTGCAGAGAAGGACCTGGTGTGGGAGGTAGGGGACCTGGTGGACACCAACTTGACCATAAACCAGCAACACAACCTTGTGATAAAGAAGGCCACCAGCATCCTGGGCTGCATTAGGCAGAGTGTTGTCAGCAGGATGTGATCCTTCCCCACAGCACTAGTGAGGCCACATCTGGAGTATTGTGTCCAGTTCCGGGCTCCTCAACATGAGGGAGACATGGACTTATTGGGCCAGCAAAGGGCCAAAAAGATGATGAAGGGACTGGAGTTTCTGTCATGTGAGAAGAAACTGATAGAACTGGGATTGATCAGCCTGGAGAAGCTGCTGGAAAGCAGTTTTGCAGAGAAGGACATGGTGTCCTGGTGGACTGCCAGTAGACCATGAGTCAGTAATGCACCCTTGCAGAAAGGTGTCCAACACTATCCTGGGCTGCATTAGGAAGAGCATTGCCAGCAGGTGGAAGGTGGCAATCCTGAGTAGGGACTCAGCCCTGTTGAGGAACATCTGGGGTCCCGAGTCCAGTGCTGGGCTCCTCAATACAAGAAAGACACACAGTTAATGGAGCACATCCAGTCAAGGGCCAAAGACATGATTAGGGGACCACAGTACCTCATACGTAAAGAGGCTGGGAGAGCTGGGACTGTTCAGCCTGGAGAAAAGAACCTTGATCAGAGATTGTAAAGTAGAGGGAACCAGACTTTTCTCAGTAGTGCCCAGTGGCAGCACAAGAGGCAATGGGCACAAACTGTAATACAGGAAACACTGTTTGAATATAAACTTTTTTACTGTGACAGTGGTTGAACACTGAAACAAGCTGCTCAGATAAGTTTGCCACATCTCCATCCTTGGAGAGAGTCACAACCTGACTAGACACGACCCTGGGCAACCTGCTCTAGCTAACCCTGCTTGAGCAGGGGGTTGGACGAGACAATCCCAAGAGAAGCCTTCCAGCCTTGCCTGTTCTGTGATTCTGCTGCAGCATCATTAATAGTGCTATAGCACACAACAACTGTAGCATTTCTGCTCTGTACTTGGCAAAGTACTAGTTTATGATCCTGGTGAAATGTTACCAATACACAGACACAATTAAACAACAGTTTCCAAGGAGATGGATTAAAGCTTCTCCATTGAGGTAAAATGCATCTGGGCACTGTAGGGGACTGCCTGAAAACTACTCTCAGGTGTTTCCATGAACTATCAGCATGCTGAAGCAGTTCCAGAAGGTATCAGTGGAGGGTGGAGATGTGAGCACTGGACTAAATTTGAAAAGACTAAGTAAGACTACCTTAGTAATTACAGGGTTCCAGCTGCCTTCTCTTTCTGGGAAGACAAATTATATGAGCCTAGACTAAGAATGGAAAGGAGATCACTGGAGTTAATCAAATGTACGTAATGGTCCAGGGGTCCTGGTGGATTAGCTTGCAGGACTCTGCAATGAGGCTGTGTGTTTTGTGGACAGTGATGCTAATGCACTAAAACTCTGCAGGGTGCAGAAAATGACATGCTGACAGACAGCAGTAAATGAAGAACCCCATGGATGAAGCAGAGGCCACTTCAGTGGACCCAGACAAATCTTTCTTCTCCTTACAGAGGAAAATTTTTCATGGTATTCCCAGGGGATCAGTTCTTGGCCCTGCACTGCTTGTCTGTGAGTAAGTCTCTACAAGTGATGGGGAGGATCAAGATACAATAAATACTCAAGAGCACAGCTGAGTCATAGTGATTTCAGTTACTCAGCAGGATCCTGGGTGCAGGGTTGGGTTTTTTTGTCTTCACACAAGCACAGGGAAGCCTACTCAGAGGCGCTAACAGGAGCTGTGGGGATACTGACAGGAGGCTGTAGGGCTAGTTTCTGCAAGCAGCACCGATACCAACAGTACTGCAATGCTGAGTGCTGCTCTGGCACTAACACAGGAAAAGGGTATTGATAAATTGGAGCAAGCTGAGAGAAAAAGCTTATGTGAGCAACAGGCAGACATGGAAATACGTGGGAAGAGGCAAAGGGAAATGTGCTTGTAAAGTGACTGGATTGGAGCTGTTCAGTCTTTACAGACAAAGGAGAGAAGACGTGACTCGGTCCATAACTACCTGACAAACAGGTGCAACAAGACTGAATAGCTGGGGGATAAGGAGCATCAAGACAAGAAGTAACACGTAGACATTTGCCAGTGCAGTAATTAACCACTGGAGTAAATAACTGGGGCTGTGACTCCTTCTAGGCAATATTTAAACTTTCTTGAAATGAAACCCTGATTTTGTACAGCAGACAGTAATGAGTGTAATCAGACAATATTAATGGAGACCTCTACACAGCAATATGTAGGTGTTGCAGGGGATAATAATCTCATCCCCTGCAGTCATCACACTGATACCTCAACATGCCACAGACTGAACAGCATCAGGTCTTGGGTTTCCACTGTTCCTTGCTCTACAGTTTTATTTTTTCCCGTAGTGAGGTCCATTCAGTCCTGCAAGGACTGAGGACACTATGTGAAAGAAATGGTCTTTGGCTGCTCTGGCCACTCTCACCTAAAAAGAGCAAGTTGTCTGCAGGCTAGGGTCCTTCAGGGCAGTGAAGGACCGAGTGCCCAGTGGTCCCTGGTAGTATTTGTACTACACCACGCTAACAACCGGAGCTCCTTCTCCAGCGGGGAAGGGGAAGGTCTATCTCAGATTTGGGAAAAGAAGGTGAGCTGTCAGGTCCACCCTGTTCCAGGGAAGGCAGTGCAAAAAGAATTTCTTTTTTCTGACAGCATAAACCCATTCTTGCTAAAAACAGTGCCCATACTCTGGGTTTGCAGCAGCACTGGGAAAGCTGTATAGGGGTGCTCCTATACTGCCCTTTTCTCCATGTCTACCCCTTCCAAGGCAGTGGGGAGGGAAGGTGGCTGTTGGCTGTTTTGAGGGAAGGGCAGGCAGGGCTCCCACACACGTGTAGGTACCCTGAGATTTCCCAGCTGGAGCCAGTGAGCCAGCCCAGTTTCTGGGGCACCTCTCACGTCTTTGGAAAAAGAAGATATTTCTTCTGGCTGCTGGGGAAATGTCACATGGAGGGAAGAAACGGGTCTGTCAAGTTCAGTATCCTGCTTCTAGCAGGGCCCAAAGGAGCCAAGAGAGGAGTGAGATTAGAGCAAGTCTATCTAGTGCCTCCCCTCCAGTTTCCCAGCTTCCAGGCACTTTGCAAGGCAGATGTGGTTTCTGCATGGGTAGTCCTGCTGCATTTAGCATCCCCAACATGTGTGGCCAGATGAGTACATTTTATCTGCGTGTGCATATATACCAATTGGGAATACATGCTCAGCCTTGCTGCTGGACGAACTGGTGGACAAAACTGCTGCAGCAGCCTTGCCTCCATCCAGTTACACAATTTGGCAACTGTGACCACTGGTATCACACACAATTTGGACACCTTTCTAACAAGCTGCAGAATTAAGGCCACTACAGACTTTAGATTTAGTAACACTGAGGACTGTCCCCAGCCTTTATGATATTTAAACAAAGATGATCACCTCATCATGGCAGAGAGGAAGAAGGTTGGGAGTCTGCGTGGCTTCAAAGAACTTTGCACCTGGATGTGCCGAAGGCCCACTTCTTGCTCCCCAGCATTGAAATGCTTGCCTGTCTTGCAGGGCCTTGAAGGCACTGGTTTATTGCACATTGCTATAAGACTCTTGGGCGCAGCCATGTTTGCAGGGCCAAATGGCTGTCATACAGATGGTTTTCTCTGCCTGCTGCCGTTGAAAGGCAAACAAATGCTAGCAAGTTCTGGGAACCAACAATAATACTTTGCAGCTATCACTTACACATCGATGCAATCATATTTGCTGTTGCTCTCTGGTGGTCTGGGAACCACAGTGCTGCCAGTTTTGTCGGGGAAAAGATGATGAGGGGCTGTGCCAGTGCACAGAGGCACTGGCCAGTAAACAGGTACCAGTAACTCTGGGAACCCAAGTTCAGGACCTTCAGGACGCTGAATATCCGGATGATGCTACCAGTCATGTTCAACCATGAGCTCAGGATCACCTGCAGGAAGCAGAAACAGCCAGGGGTTGTGTGATGAAGCCTGAATGGCAGAACTTAATGCAACAGAGTAACTTGAGCAGAGTCTCAGATGCACCACAGGAGATCCTGGGTGTTAGCAATCACTGCATTGAAAGTTGCCTGCAGACCACCCCTACCCCTTTGGGCCACTGCCAGGTGCTCCTCATCCAACAGTGCTCCTTAGGGAGCAAGGGGGCTGTCCTGGCCCCACATGAGAAGTACACCACAATGTAGCTTATATGAGACAGCAGAAACTGTGATGTAATTGATTAGAAATCCTAAGTTCGCTAATTATATTCTGTTTGCAATTTTGCACCATCACCCATATTTTGCCGTGACAATCCAAAGATCATGGCAATGAGTCATCCAGCATACAGATCCTGCAAATGCTCTTCTGTACCACTAGCATGCTAGAGTTTCAGTGCCACATTCCACAACACTCTTGCCTCTGGGAAGACTGTGTAGAGATCCCAGGCTGGCTTAGCATAGACCAAGCTCTGAGTTCACAAGGGTCCCTTGCTTGCTCACTGCCCTGCTGCTCCTTTAACTGGCCCAGCAAACAAAATAGCTGTGCTACCACTTTTCCATAGCAAATCTACCCAATTACAGCAAGTTCTTCACAGAGTCAGCTCACAGCATCTGTCCCCGTCAGTTGGCTAAGACAACAAAACTGAAGCAGAAAAAGGCAAGTAGGGATGCAACATTATTCTGACTTTTCCCTCTGCTGCCCACCTCACAGGTGATGTGACAGCTGTTACTAAACTAGGACAGAGCTTTCAACATGCTCATCCTCTGCAGCATTTGGCAAGACTTCCATTCACAGTATGCATGTTAGCGCTTTGTGCAGCTACTACTATCTTCAACTGAAATGCCCTTAGGGAAACAGAACAGTTGAACTCACAGCACATCTGAGCCCCACACTGTCGAGAACCCATGTTGCCACCAGACCAAATGGGATCGAGATGAGGAGGTACACTATTGAGAGCCAGTTGACCATCTCCAGGGAAATGTGGAAGTACGCAGCTGTCGTGTCAGCCACAGGAGCAAATGTCAGCCACAGCTGCAGAGCAGAGAGGAAAGATGGGTAAACATGAACACCAGAACAGAAATTCAGGATCCCCTCAATCCCACAGTGTCTGCAGTTACTCATGCTAGGACTATTTTACCACTGATATAATTACCTCAGCCCAGAGCACCTCATCCATTTCACTACCTCATCCCCAATCCCCTAGCCCTGCTGCTGGGAGCTGGTAGAAGCAGAGGTCAGTACCTTTTTCTGTCCGCAGATTGAACATGTTGGCCCCTGATGCACTTACTTACCTGATGTAAACCACAAGCACTCCTTCCAAACGAAACAGAGACTGCCATCTCCTCTCTGCAACTAAGAGCCTCTTAAACTCAGCCTAGTTATTATGGTTGCATTGGTAACCCCTAGATGTGGCCTTGTAAGAACAACTTTGCTATGTGTCAGCCAAGAGAGACATTATTCCATGCTATCCTAGACACACGCTCAACAGCTAGGAAAGGGCCTAGAAATTTGCATTACTCAATATATCAGAACACGTAACAGGGAAACACAAGAGGTACTTTAACAACTATCCATCTTCTCCTTCCAGTGCCATATCTGAAAATATTCTGCTAAACCTTATTTTAGGCACTGGTTTCGTAAGGCCGTTGTCTGCTTTTGGTTTGATCTGGGAATGACAAGGCCTGCTTTGATCCTCAAATCAGGTCCTGACATCATGCCCACAAGAAAGAAATGAGGGTACTACCCTGAATTTAAGGATGTTTCTGTGGATCCTCTGTGAAGATGCCCTCTCTGATGCCTTTCAAAAAGACTAGCCTAAGCTGAGAACAGATTCAATAACGTGGATGTAAGCTACTCCACTGTTAGAACACGACCTTGCAACTGCTGAATACTCAGGATGATAAAGTTTGCAGAAATGTGAACAAAAACTTCAACTATAGCTTCAACTTTAGCTATAGCTTCCTACAGAAGAACGCCAGCCACTGTTTCTTTCCAGGTACCCCCTCCCTCTGCCATCACAAGTTTCCTCTTCACAGCCTGTATCCTGCCCACAGCATCAGCTGCCATGTTACCATGCTACTGAAAAAGGACTTGGGTAACCTCAGAGGAAGGTGTGTCCCTACACTCTGCTACTCCTTATTTCCAGTGTTCATATTTACTTCTTACATGCTGACCACCATAAAAACTACATTAAATGGAAGCAGAAGGGGAGATGGGCTTTTCTGCTTTCTAAATGTCACTGTGTGAGTACAGCCACATGCAAATCATGGTTTAGCTAAGCTTTTCTGCTAGCAGGGATGCAATGAGTAAATGGCAGTAACAGAGATGTTTTGAATGTATTATGCGTGTCCTAGCAAGGACTCCTAGCATCAGCCCTTTCCTTTTCTATGTAAGGAGCTGACATGCCAAATCTCCTGCATTCAACACAAAGCTCACATGGCCATGCTGGGCTCAGACACACCCATGTGGGATCAGCCAAAGGTCTGGCAGGGGGTGGATTTGGTGTTTACTCAGCTTCTACAATCAGGTGCATGAAGATACTGAGTGCTGAAGGAAGTTGTACTCATTAAAAAACAAGGAGGCTATTACAGGTCACTGGAAGACTGGCAGTAGATTTCTAATAAAATGAGCTTTTAAAAGATTCCTTGAAATAATATAGGTAAAATGATGTTACTGTTGGCCTCTGTGTTGGCCAACTCAAGCATAGGGACTCTTGCCTTTGAAAGCCAACCAACCACAATGGGTTTGAGCCTAACCCCCTAATATTTGGCAAAACTCACTTCCCATTATTACCTCACAGATTTTGCATTATTTTTTCTCAAATGACAGCTTCTTCAGTAGTATAATGCTATATCATTGGCCATGATCACTCGTGTTGTAGACCATGGTATTTGATCCTTCAACATTTGGGATGGACTTTTCCCTCCCTTGAGATATGCACCTAGCAGGATGTTGAAATAGCCACTGTAATAACATACACCATTTCTTCTCCAAATGCAGGAATTATAGTTCCCACACTCTTCTCCTCTCCTGAGCTCAGGCCTCAGAAGCATGTTATCTCACTGTGATTTCTGAGTTTAGGGACAGCAAAAGCTCCAGTGCATGCTAGTCTGGGCAGGAAGTCATACTTCAGTACAGACTCAGGCTATAAGCCTGTACTCTTCACAGTAGGCACAGCAACTAATGAAGAGGACTTCTGGTCCCCTGAAGACTCAGAAGCCTGTTCTGGCTTGCACTGGAGTACAGCTGCAGCTCTGACTGCTTTCAGCATGCAGCTGGCTGCCTGGGCAGCCATACCCCATCACCAAAAGAAAAGGACAGAAGTGTTTTCCACCCAGAGTCTATTTATATCCTCAATTACAGCACAGTGGCCTCCCCACCTCCTTTATCAATGGAGCACGTGGGAGCACCAGGGAAAGCAAGTGCACTGAAACTCAAACCATCTGACGAGTACTGATGTTTGAGGGGTACCGGCTCCACTTTCAGCTCTCCCTCCCTTTGCTCTCCCCTTACTTTCTTGCAGTTGACATTTTGTTTTCCTCTTCTGCACCTCCCAGCGACTGCCTGCTCCCTTCCCCATTAATTGCAGGCCTGCTGGGGCACTCCTGTAACCAAGAACAGGTTACAGCTGTTCTCATCCTGCCGCCATTTCTAAGCTGCTTTGTTGCTCTTTCTGATACCCTTGTAAACTCTTAACTGATGCTCAAGACATGGAATCAGACCTCTTCCTCGCAGAATCAGCCTAAACCCTCTAGTTTTCCTTCTGCTCTCATTCCCCTTCTACCTCCATCTTCTCCGGGTTCAGATCTTCTGCCCTATCGTCTTTACTGTTTTCACTCCTACACAGACTCTCCAGGACCTACATCACCTGCAGGACCCAGTTTCCCCTCCACCCATTCCAAGGGAGCCCAACATTTGCCCTCCCTCCCACTTCTGAACAAGGTTACTGGTGGGCTGTGAGCCACCAATTCTCTGTCTGCAATGGCAGAAAGGTGACGGTGAAAGGATTCCATACAGACTCTACATGTTGATAAGCAATAGGTGTGATGTGCAGAAGGCAGCATAAATAAACACAGGCCCAGGATTTTCAGGGCTCAAAGAGCAGTAACGATATATTGAGGCATCACATGTATAACCAGGTGCAGCCCTGCCAGAAGCAGTACCAAAAAACGTTTTTCGTGAAAGGCAAGCTATTAACCTATGTCTACCCTCCTCACCAAGAAATCAAGATTCTAAAAGTGAAAAGCAAAATCATTTGCAGAATGGTAAGTGCATGCAATCAGGCAGGGTGGAAATTAAGCCATTTTGCCATGTCAGTGGTGGTATCAGCTAGCGAACACTTCTATATGGAACACTCTTCACTGTCTGGCATCCTGTATAGCTGTGCATAATGTAGCAATGCCCCTGTAATACCTTTTATGTACAGCTTAAAAAGGAGGAGCCAAGGGGGGAGACGTACATGAAATGGGACCTTCTGCTTTGTAACAGGCACATGCACAACTCACCAATACCCAGGCAGGTACTGCCTGCAGCAGCTCTCTCAGTCCCAGCATGCTCTCTCCCATGCACCCAGACACTGCTTTGAAGGTGATGTAGTATGTCTTTCTGAGACATGCAGGTTGCCTTCCCCTCCCGTAGGACCAGGCTACAAAGCCCTTACACCAGACTTCTCATCTTCAAGATCAAATGGGGCACACAGTCTGGAAGCAAACAGCCCCTGGTCTCAACTGAAAGCACCCATACTGACACAGCAGCCTAGGAAATAAGGACAAAGGCGTGATCTTCAGAAAGGTCAGATCCCTGCCTAGATGTCGCTTTTAGCCTCTACAGATCTCAGGAGGACTAGCAGGATACAACAGCCATGCAGCAGCAGCTGTGTGTGCATGCGTATCTACAGGGACACTGCTGGAGCAGACTGGTGTGAGGGAGGACCGTGCACACCCTGCCCTGGAGCATGCCAGTCTCCACCTGTGCAGCTCTCCTTCCTCTCTCAAGTACATTAAGCAGCGGTGGAAGTCCTCCAGGCTTGATGAATCAGGAACCACCCAGCCAAGTGTAAGCCAGCTCCAGTCCTCTGATCTCCTCCTCCTCCCCAGCTTGCTCACACTGACAAGCACAGAACAGGGAAGGAAACACTCTTGGTTTCATTCTTCCGTGCATTTCTGTTCCCAGCACTAAAGCAAGAAAAAGTTCCTCCTGTGAAAAACAAAGTTCCCAGCTGTTCAGCTTCACAGGAAGGAGGCAATGAGGAGGGAGGTATTAGCCTCAGCAGTTTACTGCTATGACAGCTGTCAGCACACCATGAATACTCTTAAACATTACGTTTTCAGAATAAAAAGCCCACACGCTCAAAACCACAGCATGTTTGACTAAACAAATCTTGGGAGCAACCACAGGCATAGTTATGTCACCCCTCACCAGGAGTGTTGCAAGAGACAGCTGGGGATCAATCATCTAAGCTTAGCTGTAGTCAGAACAGCCTCTCTGCTCAGGACTTCAGGTCGCAAGTGAATTATACTGATGCCTACTTACGGCCTTAAGATAATGCAAGGGTTTCTTACAGTACATTGTCAGCTAGGAATTTCCAGAATAGCCATATTTAGGAAATGAGAACCAATCTCAGGTAAGATAGTACCCACTTTGTACAGCAGGGAGAGACAGACGCTTTTAAACTCAGGTCAGTAACAGAGATTCAGATATGGTGCTATTTATCGTTGGTGTAAAAGCCTCCCTTATATCATATTTACCCCACTGTGCTCTGGTTAAATAAGGGATTTCACATGATGATGTGGACCAGGAGGAAGCAGGGAACAGTGCCCCTTTCATCACCACATGATCTGGCCTGGCTTTGCTCAGTCACAATCCTAAAACAGACTGAACTATGAAATACTCCTTTCTCAGCCTACCTTTACTGCATGACCAAGTGTGCTTCCCTGCAGTGAAGTTGCTTCTACCTTGTGTTTGTGACACTGACATTCTCTCCATCTCAGGATCGTCTGCCACTTTTCACTGATGCTAAAGGCCACTAATAGAAAACTGCACGTGTGCCTGGGTAAGAGTGGGGAATACGAGGCATCATCATGGAAGCTTGGTCCAGCACATGCGGTGAGCTGTTCTTTGCAAGTCAGACAGTTCAAAAGTCATGTGTCCTCACCATATGCATTTTGCAGATAGCATGACATAGTAATACACAGAAAAATGTGCTGCATGCAACATTTGCACAGGAATTGAGGACACAACTTCCAAGGCAACTTTCACACCAGAGAACTTGTAAATTAATCTTTCCAACTGGAACTTTTAAACAGCAACCAACTAGTCTGATTTCATGGCCAGTCAACTA